TGAGATCACAGAAAGTGGAATGTTACTAGGTCAAGAAAATTCAAGCATCCTGGCTGTCTGCCAGAACATTGTTTTGAATCATTTCAACAAGGTAACAAATAAGTTGTGTTGGAACATATCTGTAGCTCCAAGAATCTATGGAACTCAGCACTCAGCAGATCCCATTGCTCATGTGAATGGAGTGAAGGGGAAGAGTGGGACAGGAGGATCAAATTTTCAAAAGAGCTCAGCTCCCATTAGGAGAAGCAAACTGACTTCCAAAAATGCTCTATACTATGATGCTTCCACTAGATGAAATTTTGAAGTGTCCCAGTGACTTAGGATCACAAGTCTCACTGGAAACCATGCATGATTTATATTAGGAACTGTTGGCCAGCAGACGTTTTTGAAAATCTGCAAAAAATCTGGACATGCAAATTTTTGGCCGAATTCTGGTCAAGTTACATCGCCTCTATATGCTATGTTTATCTAGCCAACAAAGTGATAGCTCTACCCATCCCCCTACTCTGTTATTCTCTAAGCCTGTTAATGAAGACCAAATGAAATAGTTGTGCAAAGAACTGAATTGCCTGGCCTCTAACCCAAAAACCCCCAGTCCTGGTCCTCTGTGCACCAAAGTTGGAATACGTTTACTTTAGACAGATTCCTCCACACCTTCCGAGGACTGAACAATACATGGTACTAAGGTAAATAAAGGGGCCAAGATCACTTCTGTTTTGCTGCTATGTTGACTCTGGTGCCTAATTTCAAAGATATAAAGATTAAAACTGCTCTTTCCCTGTTTAGCTAAAATATTTGGCTACTTGGGATATTTGGGGTTGTGGGTGGAATCTAAAAGTTGAATTTACACTCTCTCCTGAATACAACTGAACATGTTCAGTAACAAAGCACCATTTGGAGAAGGTGAGATGGAAAGAAAGAATGAAACTGATGATTTGCAGTTAGATATCTGACATACAGAGAGGCTTCTCCTCATTCAACCCATTTTATATCTTACTCAGGTGCTGGGATAGAATTATGCAGCTTTGCTTCTCATTTAGGCTGAATTAAAACAAATCAAACACAATCATGAAGCATCCTAAAAGGACACTGCACTTAAAGAAGACATAAGATGCCTCTCAATTCTATATTAAGGGCACAAGAAAGGACGTGGGAAGCAAAATAGAACGATGATTAAAACTAGCATTTAATTTGGGATTTAGGTAGTCTTTTTTAAAGTTGCACAGATCGTAAAGATTTGTTTTCATACCATGCTGACTGTGTGCAGGTTCAGATACACAGGGTTATTCTAGAAGCCAGTGGCAATAAGTATTCATTCAAGGAAAGGAAAAAAGGTTCACCCCTTGTGGCAAAGGTCAGACCTCTGCAGGCATAGAGCCTGTCCATACATATGAATGTTCCTGGGACATCTTTGTCTGGTGTGGTCCCATGAGGATGACACAGGCTCCACTATGTCCCCTCTGCCTAAGGGATGGCCCTGCAGCCACCCAGATAAGCTTAGGGTCATTTGACTGGTGTTATTCTGGTTCCTGTTGCCTTTGCTCTGAACCTGGTGAATAATCATCAGAACCTTTGTGGAAAATGTTGCTGAAGGCTGAAATTAGGACTCAATGACAAGGAGTCATTTAATATGTAAACAGGATATTTATAAGAGTTACTATAAATTAAAATTCTTTGCTGAAGTATGACATGCTACACGCATCTCTATTTGAAGAGCAGAATAATTAAGTATAAATATCAAACAACACCTGATTTACAAAACTACTGTGATAATGACTTTAACATTATTTGTTTATTTATGCTGTATGTATTATCATTTTTAGAAGAGTCATTTAGTTATGACCTTGATTTGTAACTGATGCATTGCATGCCCAAATATTTGGAATAATGTACAGAACACATCTGGGTTTAATTATATTATAGTCCTCTTATACAGACAATGGGAATTGAATTAAGGAATATTTTCAAACCCCCACAGAGATATAAAAGTATTAGCAGCTGCACAAGAACTTTACTGTTACAATGTCTGAAAATGTTTTGTTTTACAGATCAGCAGTATGACATGTCATAAATATCAAGCAGCCTATTTAAAATTATATGTAAATGTGGAAGAAAAAATAAGACCTACATTTCCAAAATATAGGAAAACATTATTTTGAGGAAAAGGAGTATACTATTATGTTTTTAAAAAGTAACTGCATGGCTTATCAGCACAGAAAATGTATTTTGTACAATACTCTTAAGGACAGAACTGTATCACAGCTTAGCATGACAGAATAACAGAATAGCTTGAGCAAGCCTTTCATTGGATCTGGTTACATTGTTACCATATTCTACCAAAATAAATAATTGATTTATTTTTCATTCCTTGCAAAACCACGCCCTATGCAATTTTTTTTTGAAAACATTAGGGGATATTAACATGCACTTTAAGTGTCTGTCCTGAAGTATTAGATGCATACTGTATTTCCTTTCTGGATGCATACTGATTTCAAATGCCACGTCTTTTCAATGTTAATACCAGTGCTGCACTTAGGGTTCAATCTCCCAGTGGCTGAAGCATATTCAAAGGCAGTTAGCACAGCAGGGTGGTAGACTTTCTTGCTGAAACTAACTATATCACTCACCAGCAGCCTTATGCAATAAAGGGCCTAATGTTTTCTTTTCACTTTCTTTTTTTTTTTCCACGTAGTGTCTCCCTACATATTGGGATACCAGTCATTGTGTCATAGACCTAAGGCTACAACCACACTGTCTCCACCACCAACTCCTTAATATATTCTGTGGTGCAAAGAAAGTCAAGGCTACAGTTCACCCGCTGTCAGGAGATAAGCTTCAGTTGCTGGAGCCTTTAGAACATTCTTAAATGTTCCAAGGAAAGTTTTCTTCTAAAATATATGACATTTCTATCCAAAGGATATTTTTAAACATATATGTGGCTCCAGCAACCAGAAAAAGTCACCTGATATAAGAATTATACAATTCTTCACCACAAAAAAAAAGAGAGAGAGAGACTCTTGAGATATTTTAGATATAGATGTAAAATCTATTCTGGCGGTTTATTTATTGACTAAACCAGGGCCGAACTGGGGTTGGACTGTGGCTTGTAGGCTCCTGCCCAGCTGCTGCTCTCCCCATCACTCCAGCTGCAACAGTAGCCGGTGTCTCTGGGCTCCCCCTCTCTCCCTGATTGCTACTTCCTCTCCCCACTGCTAGGAGGTACAGCAGCACGACAAGTTGGGGAGCTGAGGTTGAGACTGAGAAGTGTAGTGCTGTGGAGGCGGAAGGGGAAGGGGGGTTGGAGGTGTGTAATGCAGTGGGGGAAGTGGTCAAGAATGAACAGTGCAGCACTGTGGGGGAGTTGCAGGTATGCAGTGGACGGAGGGGTGTAAGTATGAGGTGCAGCAGTAGGGGGGCATCATTTGTGGAGGATACAGCCCCGTTGGAGAAGCCCATAGGGTGTGAGGCATCTGGCTGCCTTTAGGGTGGACAGCCCTGGACAAACCTATTCATAGATGAGGTACATAGTATATATGAGAGAGAGAGAGAGAGAGAGAGAGAGCTAGGAACATCAAATTAAACCCAGAATTATGCGAAAGTTCCTTTGGGACAGTGCTAGTTAGGAAATACCTATATCAGTGCTGGATTCTGTACTGTTAAGCATTGGTAATACTAGTTCTTGCTACCCTCAGATTAATTAACTTTAGAGAAGATATAGTTAACACCCCTGAACCTTTCCAATGAATCACTATGAGCAGGGCGGATAGGTTATGAGATCCATCTTACTAAAGGACAGCCTAGTTAAAAAGAAGTGAGAGAGAATTTGGGGGCAAAATAAACCACTCTGACTCACCCGTTTTTCTAAGTGGAAAATCATCCTTGGCGTCCTGTGCTCCTGGTAAAGTGTATTTGTATGGTGGAGAGGCCCCACTCAGGGGTGGAGAGCTTTGATCCAGTGAGGTATGGTGAGCAGCCCTGTAGCAGACACAGACAGGTCACAAATGAGCAATCGTTGAGGTGACCAGCAGTAACCATCTACATATGGTGTACACATGTCTCAGCTGTGTTTATGTTCTTACTCTAAGTGTGCACAAAGCACAGGCTCAGGTAGCCAATTTCACTTTTACAGTAAGCTATGGAACTGCATAGGATTCCCAAGAATGTGCTTTTTGCAGTCATTATAAAAGTCATAGAGGATAAGAGTCATGTTTTAGGACAAGAGTCCTAAAATTGGATCTGTCATCTGATTGGGGAACAGACCATTTCAGCTTGCTGGTTTTTAATATTGACCAGCTGAAGCAAACCAAAAGTTATTTGGTTTCTGGTTATTAAACAATATTAGATACACATGAAAATGGCCGTTTCTACGCAGTTGTCAATTACCTAGTGTTTGGAAAATGGATTGTTATTCCCCTTTGAAAAACGAGGGCTAATTAGTCAGAAGTTGTGAAGAGGGCAAAACCTTGTGTTCAGTTCAGGCAACAAACAAAACTTCCTGCCTGCGCTACTTAGCAATATATGAAGTTAGCGTTGGAAGTGAAGTTCTGCAGAAGAGACCTCTTTCTGACAACTGCCAAACGTGAGAAAAGTTGTAGACAGTCCTTTCCAACCAAGGGAGCTGTACAACCCCTGAGGAATTGCATCACTTGGCACAAATATAACTTACTTTGCAAGTCCTTTTTCTGGAAGGGTGGGAATTTGGAGCCTCAAATAACAAGGCATTTTACTCTTGTCCTTCTTCAAAGCTCATTGCAGTAACTTTCCTTTTAGTGTGGAAAGGGCCCATTAAAGACACTACATGTCACACAGAGTTACTAACAGGGAATAAGTTACTCCTTTCCCCTGGGGACCTGAGCATTCTGGTCCTATGCAGCTGAAGACTCTCACCTGAATGCAGATCCTAAATTCAGGTTTCCCTCTTAAATACTAAGTCAGGAGTTTTTCAGTTAATAGGACATTGCATACTTTGTGACAGAACCTATTGAGTACCATATCTTCATAAGAAATGATTTGCATGTTAGATCATGCAATGTTCAAACTACCTGCAGTCGATAGTAGAAACCCCAGGGGGAAGCTGTCAAACATATTGCTTAAAAGAGAATAATTTAGATTAAATTATTTAGCTAAAGGATCTAGAAGTCTTGGTTTATAGTACAATATACCATTCAGGTCAGGTATACTTTCTAGTTTTGCACCTTGGGCCTTCAAGCTATTCTTGGAAAGGAGGCAAGACTCAAGTACTACGTGCATCTCTCTCTGTCCAGTGGGGCTGAACTATCTTGGCAACGTAGTCACTCTCCTGTTTGAAGGTGTATATTATACTGATGCATCTGCTCTGATAAGGCAGACAAAAAAATGCACCCCCTCTAATCTGACATTTAGAAAGGTGGCCACTGTAAACCCTTTGTAGACATTGCAACATTTACCAAAATCCGTACCTAGTGATTTAAGAACCTCCTTGTCATACTCTTACTAAGGTCAATGCATCCACAAAACATGAATCTTAGACACCAAGAGCCATCAACCTCCAAGAGAAGGGTGAAAAAAGTTAATTCAGCTATTACCACTTCTCAATATACTAGCAAATTCTCTTTTTAATCACAAACAACAGTAGACTGGAGAACAACACTACACCTAGAAGAAATACATTCTCATTTCACAATAGCAATCGAGTTAATTTATGGGTTCACAGCTTGCCCTACATGTGGCGATATAATTACTTGTTTCTAAATGTGCGTGAATTATCCCCAAGGCTATTTTCAGTGTACAAAGAGAACAGATTTTCAATTGCTATTGCAATTTTATATAAAGGATATAATAGCACAGGTTACAGGCAACTAAGAATTCAGAGAAGTTGAACCAATCTTTTCCGCTTGTATAACTTACTACCTAAGGTTCCCTTGTCGGATTGGGATGCCTCATTCATCTCCACTTTGTTGTATGGGGCCTTCATAAGCAGGTACAACACAAAGCCACAGCAAATTCATGACCAGTTCTATAATCTTGCAAAAATTGCCTAGTTTCATTGCAAACACAGAACTTGAGCCTGGCTCACAAGCTTGTAAATGCCAAGCAAATTTGAAAAGATTTCATCGGTTTTCCTGGACACATCTGCACTCTCAAATTCTGACTCAAAACCCTGCCATTTGGAGTGAGCTCTGTTTTGAGTTTTGGTGATGGCTTTAATGTGAAACTAAAGGTGAGTAACACATGACCTGAAATAATAAAGAAAGGCCTCTCGACATTCCTCATTTTGGTTAAAAAAACCCAAAATGTTTTATTTTATTTCTTTGTTAAGCTTTTTGGTTAACGTTTTGTTTCTTGTTTGTTCTGGACAGGTTCCCAGTATCTCCGCTGGAGAGGAATCCTGATGCCCACCATTAGTTGATACCTCAGTGAGGCATAAGAACAGCTTAACACTGAACATACGTGTACCAGAGCTTGGGGTGGCGGCTCATGGAATGATTCTTCCCATTAGCTGGAGAGTCTTTTGTTGCTGATTTACTCAAAAGGAACTCCTGAAGTTTTTGCTTTACTTCTGTACTAGCCACTGCCCCTGAAACACACAGAGATTAAACTTTTCCTATTTGGTACAGCACCGAACAAAATAATATTAACACACACACAATTTGCTGTGGAAAGTGCCATAAAATGTAAACAGCAAAAATGAAAATCACAACAAAAATGAAAGAAGGTCTGAATTATACTGCTGCTCAGCTGACGACTTCATTCTCCTTCTGGGCCTGATCTGAAAGTCTATTGAAGGCCCAAGGAATCTTTAAGTTGACTTCAGTGGACTTTGGATCAGGTCCTATAACCTGTAAATTCTTCCCAGCTCTCAAATCAAGTCCTTAAATCATTAGGGAAAAAGAAATGCTGACAGAAATATAATGCTGTCTGAGTCCCTTTGAAGAGTCTCTCCACTGAACTAAAACAATGCTAACAGTGCATCTAACTTCCCCTCTCCCCACCATACTGACTCCTAAAAGAATATTGCAAAGCCCCATATCTCAGTTTTTATTTTTAAGATACTTAATGAACTGGCCTTGAGTGATACCTAAAATATTAACTAAAGCTCTAAGACAAGGAGCACTTGCTAACTTCACTCCTCTGAGACGAGGACATTTTCTAAAGCTCATTTGTAAAAGAGACAGAGCTTTCTTAGACCATGGCCCAACTGCTTCCCAACTGAGCCTGGGCACCCAGTCCACTTGCTCTCACTACGGGAGCATCAAGGCCTGGTGATCATAGCCTCTGAGAGAGCCTGAGGGCATTTTTATCACACCTCTACTGCAATTCCAAGCCTGTCATTTTTATTGCACTCTGCATTAGGTAAAAAAGAAATTCCTCCATATAAGTGGGAAGCATGCTAAAAAGTGTGTTGTGATATTGAGTATGCTCAGCACCACTCTACGAAGCACAAATGAAGTGACCACACAACATTTCCTCAGTATGTGTTACATAGAGAGTGAGAGCCAGTGGGCAAAGGCAAAGATCCATGTGTATCGTTTCACTGGAGTCCCAGTGAAACATTGGTTTCTAAAGCCTAGAACAGGTTGCAGCTAAATTGCTACAATTTTCCTTAAAAAAGGAAGGCTTAGTATGCTCTGCAGAGCTCTTACAGGTTGCTCTTTATTAACTAAAACTTTGTGCTCCTTTAAGTGTGCCAGTACAGATACCTTTGGTTATTTCATTGCAAATCCCTTTACAACACACCTTATACCCTGGAATTATTTGATTTTAACCTGACCTCACTGAGGGGAATGATTTGTGTCTGTCTTCCCCTAGTGAGTACTGGCCTTTCTTTTTTTCCCCACTGGCCTTAAACCCCTGTGAAAGCTAGAAAAAAAAATGTGTTAATGTTTTATGGAGTACTGTCAGTGACAACGAAAAGTCAGTCTAGAAAGACTCAGCTTTGTAACAAAAACGGAAGTGGCCAGTTGTGTTTACTGGAGAAATTATTAAATACTATATTACATTTTCAGTCTTCAAGCATTGTTCATATTACTTTCTTTGCCAGCAAAGAAGCCTGCTGCTTTGTAGTGCACTCTCAATGAGGTAATAAAGCAGCTCCTGAGAGAGATCTTAAATTAAACTTTTTACAGTCTAACTGCATAGCCTTTCCTTTTTTAAAATGGAAAGCTAGATACCAGAGCAGAAGATTCCCAGGCATGGCAGAATAGATTTTCCTACAACCCTCTCAATTTGCACAAGTAACCTAACATTGTGGCTTTGTGGGAGTAATAGGTGGGTCTGCATTTTTGCAGTCACACCTCTGACTCCTGTGGCTGAATATGTCATGTACTAATATTTTGCTTTGAGTTTGTGGGCATTATCCACTGCATAGAGACACAGAACATATCACTTCATAGGCTGGAGGATGGTACAGTGGCTCTTACTTTCTCGACCTCTTTCTTTGCCTCTGAGAGGAGGAAGCTGCTGTTCCCTTCGATGCCTCTCCAATTCCTGTTCTTGTCTCTGTTGCTCCAATTTCTGCTCTTTTTCAATGAGTTCTTGTTGTTGTTTAATGGCTAGGAGTTCCTGTTGTAACTTGCACAGAAGAAAAAGACATGAGAAAGGGCAGTTTGCGTTGTTTTCTAGGTCAGTGCTGGCCAAAATAAACTCCTGCAATAACCAAATAGCAGTACTTTCCTCTATCCTAACTTCCTGATTTTTTTTTTAACCTCTTAACTCACTTTTCTGTGGTATACTACATTATCAGATTTCACTAAAATGACTCTAATATCAAGTAGTAACTGGCTGCAGTGGCTTTGCCTCTTTCTCTTTTGCCAAGAGTGGAATACCTGCACAGTATCTCTAGTCTCTGCCAATGTACCATCAAACTCTGGCTGCTATGCTCAACTGAATTTGTCAGTCTGCCTCATCACATAGAACTCACCACATTAGCAAAGATACTAAGATATTTCAGAAAGAAAAAGGCAAGGCCATGAATGCTCAGTCAAAAAGAAAACTGTGCCAGTATTTCTCCCATGACAGGTTTTATCCCATAAATCGTTTTCCTTCACATTGTGTGAGCTAGCTTGGAGACAAGCAAAATGTCAAATTTTCTGAGTCTGACTCCAGTTTTAGGGATGCAAATATTTGCTGCTACATATATATCTGATCTGTGGGCATGAACTCAAACAGCTTCAAAAAACAAGCAATCACAGTTATTATGCCCAGATGAATTCCACCACAAAAAGGGCAGCCATATTTGGTGCAAATACACTCTTTGAATGAATATGGAAATGTCACCTGAATGGGAGAAAAGTATTCCAATTTAGAGTGCCTTGATTTTCTCTAGGCTGAACAGTAATATATTTCAATAAAACCTATGTGAATGCATGAAAATGTTTTCACCATCCAGTCCAGCCTGGGTTTTCATCACTTCTCCATATCACGGGCATGCAGAGTCATCATCATTCAAACCTCCGTCTCTAATTAACACTAAAACCTCCAGGAGCACTCCCTTACCCAGCATTCATTTGGGAATACTCAGTTTGTGGTGGAGCAAAGGGACAAAACAAAAACATTTTGCTACCTTTATGTGCTCCTGGAGCTGAGCCTGGTGTTGCCGGGTCAGTTTTTCATGCTGTTTCTGAAACTCTGCAATCAGCAACTGTTTCTGAATTTGCTGCTGCTGCTGGATCAAAAGTAGCTCTTGTTGTAGCTGCTTTTCACGCATAATTGGGTCCACCATGGGAACCATCATCCTGAGATCAGTTCGCAAGTCTAATGGTGTGATAGGCTCCAATCCCACAGGCACCTCTGACTTTACATCCACTGTACAAGAACAACAACAACAAAAGGAAAATTACAATAAAGCTCATTGGAACAACAGAATAAAAATATGCAGCCTGCATACTTAACTCAAAATTTCCTTCAAGTTATAGAGCTAGCAAAATGGCTCTCATTAAAAATTACACAGAGAGTCCAGTCATTTCCACTTGCAATCTAAGATTTCCCGAACCAAGATGCTGTTTTCCTCATTCTCTTAGGAAATGCTCCCTTCTAGAATAATGAGGACTCCCGGTTCCTAGAAAATGCTGCATCATGTCAGAAGCCAGCTGAGCAGTACTTAGTTTATTACTGGTTAGTGATACTGGGTAACAGTCTCTCTCAGTGTATATGCATTATTTGACGTAAGGTAAAAGCCCCAGAGTCCTGGATTGTGAAAAATGTTTTTCTAACAGGAGAAAGCTAGCTTTTAGACTGACTGAAGGTGGCATTACACCTATACAAATATCATATATTATGTAGTTATGTACAAACATGCTGGACTACATACTAAACAAAGGAAATGCACAGCATATATAATACCATGTGAGAGAAGAAAAGGACAAATGCATTTTTTAAAGTATTGATGCACTTATTTTTACATAGTGACTATTCATGTGCCTACTGTAGATGTTCTATGCACTGCTCATCACAAATGTTTTCCTAAAAAGACTGTTTCTATTTCAATAACAGAATACATTGTTAGTATAACATAACACCAAGTAATGAAAAATGCCTTTAATCCCTGAATTAAATTTATATATATTTATAATTAATTTAATTTTTATATTATATAACTTGGATAGATAGATACACACACACACACACACACACACATATATAAAATGTAAAGAAATTCACTATGCTACAAAACAGAGCCACTTGTTTTCATATCATGTGTGTGTGGATAGAAACACTTACCATACTGCTAAAAGAGTAGTTAGCAGTACACGGTCTAGGACATACACCTGAGCAGTTCTTACTCTATCCACAAGGGGACAGCGATACACAAGCACTAACTAGTTTCCCATAGAAACCCAGAACGAGTAAGTGGAAATAACATCCCCCAAGGGACTAAATATGAATTACATGTTTCCATACAAGTTCTCTCCCCCCCCTTTTTTTTTTTATCTTTATGCACTTTAACTATTCCTTTTGTTCAAAACAAAGACAGGAACTGAATACAGTAGAAATGTTTCCATGTTTCAAATAATATTAGTAAGATTGAAAGCTGAAGCACACAGCTGAATATAAACCCTACAACAAAGCCAGAGGAGTATACTTGCACATGATAAATAAATGTAAAGTGGGAGATATAAAACACCAAAATCTCTCCTTGTTATCATATTCTGTTTCTGTCAATAAACTGGAAACATCAAACATTTTCTACCTCCTGAAAAGTGATTGTAAACCTCAAAGCATAATTTGACTTCTTAACCTGCTATCCCAACAGAATGATTGTTCCTAACTGCTTGCTTTTGTTCTGAGACTAATCACTAAATTGTAAAAAATCACCCTTAACTTACAAAAACTACTCTTGATTATAAATAATTGCCCCAGACCAAGAAAAAGCAACAGGCAAGAACCCAGCCTTTCATCCAATTTATTCAGCAGCAATCCACATTCCATTTGTCTAGACTAAATATAGCAGCGTTTATACAAGAAATCAATAGTGCTTGCAGAGAGCAGAGCAAAGACATGAATATTTCATCAAACTCAGAGAGAAATGGCAATCAGCAAACTGACAGTTTTGTGCAGGCCAGCGGCCTTCAGATAAGTCCCTGTTACTTGGACAATGGCTCGCTGCCTGCAAGTCACAATCTTATCATAGGCATTCTTCTATTTTTAACATTAATTGCATTGTAAGTGACAAAGGCTTATCGTGTTTAAAGTGGAGAAATGGATCTTCTTACATCTTCTATGACAGGATAATAAGCCTTAGCAGGAGCAATAATAGTAACTAGAGCTGTGTAAACCCTGGCAGGTTTGGGTTGCAATAGAGTTTGCAAACCCTGCAGTTTAGTTTGCAGGCCCTGGCTAGAAATCAACCACTCCAGGTTCGCCTAGAGATTCAGGTCTGTTTATAACTCCCACCTCCAATCCCATCACTCTATCCCCCTAGAACCACTACTTGGCTGGGAGAAGAAAGTCTACAGATTTTCCAACAATGGAAAAAAAGTATTTGCCTAGATATCCAAAACTTAGCAAGACTGAAATGTAGTTTAGTTTGAATAGATTAAAAAATGCTGGTGGCTTCCTTTCAGCAAACTCAACTTACCATCCACACAGTCAACAATTGGGTATGCAGATATAGCTATCAGAGACTATCAATCAGTGCACAACTTGCAACCCAGTCACCATAAGTGAAAAAAAATAGAGATACTTGAGGATAATCAAGCCCTTCCATAAACATTGTAATCAGCCAAGTTCTCTCTAATACTACTGAGAGCTACCACACAGTAAATATTGACTTTTTAACAACAATCATTATACTGAGATTGCATCTGGCAATAACAAATTTCAGCAACTAAATATACCAGAAATGATGATGAATAAAAGGCACTACAATCACCAATTAAACTGACGGTTATGGTACTGTCTATTGCATAGTGCTGTTCCTGTATGTCAATTTCATTATGTTTATTTCCTACCAATTCATGAGAGAAGAGATCGAGGGAGCCCACTGACTTACATCTGTGTAAAAACTGGGTAATGGAGCAAAGAATCAGGGTTTGAGTCTTTCAGAGCTCTGACAGATCATGATTGAGGTATCTTTCCCTGACCATTTTCATTTATGAAGTCAGAGACAAAAGAACGGTCATTTTCATCATGCTTCTTGTGCTACAAGCAGAAGCATCGCATTAAAAAAATGCATTTTAAAGTATCACATGCTTGCACTTGATGTTCAGTTTACTCTTGGATACAATAAGTAATTATAAGACTCCTATATCAGGTTTTATCAAAATCTGTAGCTGAAGGAGGACGAGGAGGATGGAAAAACTAGAGAATGCATTAAGATTTAATATCCAGAAGTTTACCAGTAGAGACCAAGCTCCACTGATTTCAGAAACTATGCCACTCATTCTCAACCACAGTGCCACCTGATCCTGGGGTGGTTTGAGATCCTTTCAAAAGTGCTGCAGGGGTGCCATGCAATGTTAGTACAGTTAGGTGTGCAAACATGATTCACAAGCTAAACCCAGAGATTTCAAATAGGAACCATAGTGTTAAAATTATCTGACCTGTTCTGGTCTTTCAGACCAAGGAAAATATAGGCCTCTTACCAAATAGGAAAAGAAAGTTAATAATGGACAATGCACAGAAAGCTGAAGTGTTTTACAACTTTTTGGCCAGGTATAGACATTACACTTTTAACAGTATAAGTGATTGGAAAGTGGTCTGTACCCATAACAGAACAGAAGTTTGGCGCACACAAATTGGTTTAAAAGTGGCACAACCTGGTCTAAGATCTGCCCTCCCCCCCTAAAGGGTGAATGTTTGGTCTGTTCACTACTGATCTGAACTACACTGCTTACAACAAACCTCCAAGTTCTCTGGAACAGAAAATCACTACATTCTTTTTCTTTTGTAAAACAAAAGAAAACTAAGAGATGGCTTTTTGGGGGGGGGGGGCTTGAGTCTAACGAGGGGTACCTTGATTCTAAAAAGGTTGAGAACCACTGAACTATGCCTAAGCCCTAGAGGAAATGACTTTGTTTCCACCAGAAAATGGCAAAGCACATGTACTTATTTCTCTTATGTCCTTCTGCTGCTTTAATGGTGAACCATAATAATATAAAGGTAACAAACAGTTTACATGTAAATTGTAATCAATATAGTGAATGTACTGCAATGCTTTAAATACAGTAAGGAAAATAACAGTGACACCTGCAAAACAGAACAGAACTAAGTATACTTGGAGGCAGGAAGAGTACATAGCTTCAATATGTAATAATGCAAAAGAGCTGTTTTTAAATTGACTGAGATTTTAATACCTGAAATCAACCCTCGCAAATAGGCATCACTATACAACCACTGCTCCTTTCTTGAGTGATACCATTTACACTGTATTTCCAGTGACCAGGAATTTAAATTTCTATTGACTAGAGTATTCACAGATTCTGAATCACCATTTTTATGAGAAACCATCAGAAAATAAAACAATTTATGGCAGTGACCACTCTATTCTCATGAGAGGGGCAATCTTCTTTCTTTGGCAATTACTTTCATTGGCCGACAGTTATGTCATCTTTAAGTACAGGAACTCGCACAAAGGATGCTGTAATCAGCTGATCAGGTTACCATTTGTCTGCCATTCTTTATTTGAAACGTAATGAAGAATACCAATAAGCTCGCTTAACTTGTTTAATGCATTTACAGCTCTGACAGTAACTCTCCTAGTTCACTAGAAGAGTGTATACATTCAATTTAACCCTTTTATCACCGAATTGCATGGTTAGGAATATGTACTGTGGCAGAAGACAAGTCAAAGCAACTAGGAGATGGACCGTATTTGATTTTTGGGGGGAGGGCGGTACTGGGGAGTGATTTTTTTTGTGGGAGGATAGGAGGACCACCTGAAAAGCTGAACTTGCATCACACATTATACAGGAAACATGAAGAAAATATATTCAGCAAGGCTGGAAACTAATGTTATGAAATGAAGATTTTCAGAAATATCCCTTTAAGTCTTAAAAAAAAAAAAGTCAATCTTCAGACGAAAGGGAAATGCTGTCCAGGATGTCAGCATAACACCGACATATATAAAAGCAATAAAAGACGGATAATCCCTTCTGCGGGTGCATCATGAAGAGATGTTGGTATCACAGCTTGGCTTGAAGTTACAGTCAGTGCTATCCACAAATACAATATTAAAACTCCCAGCATTCAAACTAGAATGCAGAAAACATTTACAATAGTTCAGTGAAGAAATTAAGCTTTAAAACTAAAAAGGGTTTAAAAAGAAGTGTGAGAGTTACAGGAATAAGATACATGAGTGGAGGTAG